CCGTGAAGCGCTTTCAGATGTTTAAGACGACTGGGCGCGGCGCTCATGCGTGGCCAAGAATTCCGAGGAAGCTTCAAGCAACTGTTTCATGTTGGAAGAGGGGAGCCATGAATCCGCGCAGCGCGACGGGCGTGGAAATACGGGTCTTCAAATTCAGCGAAGTCTTTATTAAACAAAAACGGTCCTCCATCCGACCCAACGCTGAATTTCAGGAACGATTGCGCACGGCGTTGAGACGACAACCCGAAGTTGCAAACGGCCCGTGTTCGATCCTGGAAGCGGTCGCAAGATTTCGAGACGAGCGCTCGTGGCGCTCAGGCGAGAGCCCGACTGTGAAGAGGAACCGCCCTCCACCCGCGTAGCTGGTGAAGACGACCGCGCGCGGCGCTGAGGGCGAGGGCCGCGCTTTGAGAAGGAGCCGCCCTCCACCCTTGCAGCTGCTGGTCTCTGTGACCACGGCGCGCGGCCCTCTGCGCGAGAGCCGCACTCTGAAGACCACGGCGCGCCCCCTCCATCCGCGCAGCCGTGGGGACGCTCTTTTGTGGCGAGTGCGCGCGGCGGCACGGCGAAACCCACGGCCTGAGAGGGAGCCGCCCCCCCCCCCCCCCATGCGTGGTGAAGCTGCCGTGCGCGGCGCTGCGGCGAGGAGCCACGTTCTGACCCCCCCCCCCCTCCCTCCCCACCACCCGCGACGCTGCTACAAGTGTCGAGCTTCGGGAACATACGCCGTAAGGAAGCCTCAGGCGAAACCCACTCGCCTCCGGCACGCTGCCTCGCGTCGCAAAGGCGGCCGTCTCACCGGCAGGACAGCGGGGGTGCGAGAAGAGCGCGGCTCGGGGGCGAGAGGGCAAAGGGGCAGGAAGTCGATCTGATTCCCTTGGTTCATCCCTGGAGGAGGAGGAGAAAAAGGAGAAGGAGGAGGACGACGACAACGACGACGAGGGACGAGGGAGAGGGGGGATCACAAGGTCTACTGCGCTCACCAGGTCTACTGAGCCTCTACGCGCCCCCAGACTCTGCGCGGGCCGCCGCCGCCGAGTCCGTTCTCCGAGAAGCGCACCTGGCGTTCGGGGCCGCCGCCGCCGCCGCGAGTTTGCAGAGGGGTCTCCGGCCGAGCTCGCCTGCCGCCGAAATGCGAGAGCGGCATCGGTTTTCTGTATAATTGCCTTCAGCCCACCCCGCCACCGCGCCTGGGTCGTGGGCGGCCTCGTCGCGGTTGCGCGCTTGCTCCCTTCGTGTGGGGGGTTCGAGCCCGGGGGGGTCGAAGCAGAACTTTGCTGTGCAATTCGTCGCGGATGCGCGGTTGCTCCCTCTGCGTGGGGGTTTTGGGCCGGGGGAAATTTCGAGTATAATTTTGTGGTGTACTTTGTCGCAGTTGCGCGGTTGCCTTCTTTTTGTGCGTGTGGAGAGTTCGGGCCCAGGGTGGCAAGCGACGGCGAAGCGGGAGATTTCGGGACAGTTTCCAGAAATCATTCTGGTCCTGTTCTGGGTGTGCGCTCGTGGGTTGAAGGTTTCGTCTGGTGTTGGACGCGATTGCGGGCGCCTTCGGATAAGAGAACGAAGGAACATTTGGGATTGGGTTGCGGCGTCGGGTTCTGGCTCGTACTTTGTGGTCCTGTGATTTTCAAGTCACACATACTCGTTTTAAGAATTCATGCGCGTATGTGCGCGACGTGGGCACGTCTACACACACTGTCTACACCGATATCTTTCCATGCTCACAGCATGTAGTGCACATGGTGCGCGCAGAGTCAGTCGCCGTCGTTTCTATATTGTCGCCCGGGCTTCTGCACGTGGCCGCCGCCAGTTTTCTTTGTGCTGCACTTACTCAGTGTCCGGGGCGTTGGCCGCCAGCTTTTGGGACCCCCCGCAGAGTGCTTTATGTTTTTCCCGGAAAGGGCGTAGGCCCAGGGTTCTCTTTTCGGATGGTAATCTGTGCCGGTGCCTCAACTGAGGTGGGCCGGCGGATTCTTTCCCTGATAAATATCGAGGTCGAGGTGGGCCGGCGGATTAAGATTTGAGGATGTCTCCGGCGAAACGCTTGTTTTTGAAATCCCGATCGATAAATCAAAGGGCTTTAGTCCTGGTGAAGACTTTCCCGAGGCCCCATAGGGGGCTCCACCGAGGGCCCCATAGGGAGCTCCACCGAGGGCCCCAGTGGCTGCGTTCGCATGGCGGCACCGCACCCATTTCGGCACACCTCTCACACGTTTCGTGGACCCTTAGGGAGTTCCCTCTCATTCGCTCAACCTGCTTTGCGGTACTCGTAACTGCATATGGTTGGGTCCATGGCCAGGATAATGTTTTTTCGTCGCCGCCGTTGGAGTCCTGGTGAAGACTTTCCCTCGAGTGTCGACCTGGTGATGGCTCGCGGGGTCGGGGGGGATTAGGCCCCCCCCCGGGGGGGGGGGCCACCTCGACCCCCCGCCGCCCCTTCGTCGCCGACGGGGGCCCCACGGCCCGTGTCGACCTCGTGATGGCGCTCGGGGGCAACGCTCGGGGGGGGGGGGCAGGCTCCCCCGGGGGGGATGCCTCGCATCTGCTTCGGCACCATCCGGGAGGCCTAGCACCAGGGAGGATCGGAGGTGGGGGGGTGAGATCGATGTGGAACGGAGAGCCCCCCCTACCGGAAAATCGGTTTCGGTTTCGTGCTCGTGCGTGCCGTGCGTGCGGGCGAGGCGAAGCTGCGTGGGCGGGCGAGAGGAAAGTCTCCTCTGGCTGAGGCGCGGCCGGACCAAATGATTCCTGACCGGGGGCCGGAGGCGCGCGGTGTCCCGCCGGTGTCCCGCTGGTGCCCCGTCGGTGTCCCGATGATGATGATGATGATGATGATGATGATGATGATGATGATGATGATGATGATGATGATGATGATGATGATGATGATGATGATGATGATGATGATGATGATGATGATGATGATGATGCTGATGCTGATGCTGATGCTGATGCTGATGCTGATGCTGATGCTGATGCTGATGCTGATGATGCTGCTGCTGATGCTGATGCTGATGCTGATGCTGATGCTGATGCTGATGCTGATGCTGATGCTAATGCTGCTGCTGCTGATGATGATGTCGATGATGTTGATAATGATGATGATGATGATGTCGATGATGTTGATGACGTTGATGATGATGATGATGATTATGATGATGATGATGATGATGATGATGATGATGGTGATCGTGATGGTGGTGATGATGATGGTGGCCCGATGATGGTGATGATGAATCTGGTGTTGATGATGATGGTGTCCCGATGATGATGATGGTGATGATGATGATGATGATGATGATGGTGACGATGATGATGGTGTTTTGATGATGATGATGTTGATGATGATGATGCCGTTGCTGATGATGATGATGATGGTGTCCCGATGATGATGATGTTGACGATGTTGTTCATGATGATGAGATGATGATGATGATGATGATGATGATGATGCTGATGATGATGATGATGATGCTGCTGATGATGATGATGATTATGGTGGTGTTCCGATGATGATGGTGTCCGGATTATGATGATGTTGATGATGTTGACGGTGACGATGATGGTGTCCCGTTGATGATGATGATGATGGTGATCAGGTGGTGATGATGGTGTTGCGATGATGTTGCTGATGATGATGATGGTGATGATGATGCTGATGCTGATGATGATGATGATGATGATGATGATGTTGATGACGTTGATGACGATGATGGTGATGATGCTGATGATGATGACGTTGATTGTGAGATCGATTGTGATATCGATAGTGAGATTGATAGTGAGACCGAATGTGAGATCGATTGTGAGATCGATTGTGAGATCGGTAAACTGATCGATTGTGATATTAATCGAATGAAATAGATCGAGTAAGATCGATTGTGAGATCGATCGAGTGAGATCGATCGAGCGAGGCCGATAGTGAGATCGATAGTGAGATCGATAGTTAGACCGATCGAGTGAGACGTTGGTTCCTCCCCCCCCGAACCTCCTTATCACCCGAAGGGTGGTCGTATAGGTAGGGAGGATAGGGAGGAGGTGGAGGAGGAGGAGGAGGAGGAGGAGGGAGGGAGGGAGGGAGGGAGGGAGGGAGGGAGGAGGGAGGGGAGGGAGGGAGGGAGAGGAGGAGGAGGAGGAGGAGGAGGAGGAGGAGGAGGAGGAGGAGGAGACCTCCCGCCGCCCCTTCGTCGCCGATGAGGGGGCCCGATGACCCCCCTCCCCCGCCCAGGCGCGTGCGCGCCTCCCCGCTCTCGGGGGGGCCACTCGCCGAGGTGGATCGGCGAGGTGTCTCGCCGATCCCGGGTCGACGCTTCCCTCCCCCCGTCCCCCCCCCCCCGGGGGAGCCGCTCGCACCCTAGCGCTCCCCCCCTCAGGGGAGAGGAGGAGGGAGGAGGGAGGACGGAGGAGGGAGGAGGGAGGAGGGGGAGGAGGAGGGAGGAGAGGAGGGAGGGAGGAGGAGGAGGAGGAGGAGGAGGAGGAGGAGGAGGCGGAGGAGGAGGAGGAGGAGGAGGAGGAGGAGGAGGAGGAGGAGGAGAGAGGAGGAGGAGGAGGAGGAAGAAGAAGTGGAGGAAGAAGTGGAGGAAGAAGTGGAGGAACGGGGCGAGGGCGAGAGGCAGAGTGGGAGGGGGGCGAGAGGGCGAGGGGCTGCTCCGGGCGCCTGTGCGTGTGACTTCTTGCCGCTCGTGGCCGCGTCAGCCACCCCCTCTTCGACAGCAGGGGCATGGCGGCTTGCCACGCACGCACGAGGACGCATCGCATTCCATGGAGACGCTCCGGAACGTCTTCCCTCCTCCTCCTCCTGCTGCGCATGAGAGTGCATCTTGCTGGATTGAGATGTTGTGGAACGTGTCCCGTCTGCCTCCTGCTGCTGCTGGTGCTGCTGTTGCCGCTCCTCCTTCTTCGCAGCAGGCATCATCTCGAGCTTTTTCGGGTTTTAGCCAGTACATTCCAAACAATTTGTTGTTGCTGTCGCAAGCTTCCACCGCTCACCGCGACCTTGCAGCATGGATTTCGCGACAGATCTCCGTAACTACATCGGCACGTTGGGCGGCTGCCTGGTTGTTGTGCTGTCGCTGGCAGCGGTGACGGGGGCAGTCTGCGAGCTCATCAACATTCGCGTGATGAAGGTTGTCGAGAAGATGCCGTGGTGGCCAAGTGCACAGCCTCTGCAGAAAGGATTAATGATGAATTTCGGGTTCGCAGAAGATGACTGCACTCCAGAGATGATGCTGGAGGGCTTCTCATTCGTTCTCCTTATTTGCGGGCATCACTTCCTGATGGGCATGGCAATGGTTCCCGTCGTCGTCCGTGGGTGGTCAGGGGCAGGCCCGACTGGGCAGCTGCTCTTCCTAATGGCAGCTCTCGGTGACGTATCTTTTGACGTCTACGACACGATCAAGAAGTTCTTGCTCACGTTCTTCCCGAGCACGTTCAAGAGCTGGGGTACGTGCCCGCTGCCGTTCTTTATCATCATGTGCCTCCTGCACCATCCGCTGGCCATGCTGCTTGTGATCCCCATGAACATGAAATACAGCTATCCAGGTGTCTCCGGCGAATCCCGCGTCCGTACGCGTTCAGGCTAGCAGGAGGCTAAATGGTGAAGGGGGGGAATATTCCAGATCCGTGCTCCCTGTGGCCGCACGGCATCAGCTTGTTGCACTGCGTCGTTGTCTACATGGCACCTCAACAGGAAACAGGCGCTTAGACGGCCGTAACATGTGACACTGTTCTTTGATGGGGCTCTGCTGCACACCCACCAAGGCTCTCTAGCGGCTTTCCTGGGCCTCTCTGTGGGGCCGTGTCCTCCTGCTTCTGCATCTCTTCTCCTTACAGACAACTCCTCGTTGTGGCGGGCTGGGCGTTCCGCTTGGTATTTCCTCACCGTGTATGAGGCGAAAGCTTCTGGGAATAACTTCAGGGATGGAGAGGGGGCCTTTTTGGCTCTCGCGCTAGCGCTGCGCCCTGCCTGATCGCACCCCAGAAGGATGCAACGCAGTGCCGTTTGACAATTGTGGCCTCGCCAACATGGCAGGCTTGTGTGGTCCTGGTTTCTCAGGTGGGGTGCTCCTTTGGCAGTGCAGAGGAAGGCCTGTCAGGACTTATCAGGGGGGACTTGAAGCCGGAGGCTGTCTTGCAGTATCGTTAATGCGTATTGGGTTTACTCTGGCCCCCTTTCTTGCCCAAGCCGCCGAGCGCTCGCGCTCGTAGCGTCATTCGGCGTCGGCCTCGGCCGACGCTGGTGAGCGCCCCCGCCCGCTGAAAGACCTCCACGGGCAGTGAGAGCTCTAGGTGCTGCGCAGCAAGAGTGAAAGGCAGATACCGAGATACCCTCCTCAACTTCCTCCAACATCGACTGTGGCCCCCGTCCCTCCTCCCTGTCCGTGTGGCCATAACGGGATGTCTGGCCCGTCAATTGGGGTCCCTTTGCGGCACCTGTGCCGTGCAGTGGACGCCCACGAAGCCTTTCGTCCTCCGTTCTTTGAAGGCCCCTCATTGGGCGTAGCAGGATTCTCTTGTCGTGTCGCCAACGTCGCAGAACGGATTTCGTTCGGAAAACGATAGGATAGGCCCGGAGTGTCCTGGAGAATTTCGGCCCGGATTTCGGTGAATTTCGTGTGGTGGATTTCTTAAGCCAGGAATGCAGACTACGAAAGTGTTAGTCTTGGCGCAACTTCGAACACCACCTCAAATCATCAGGAGAGTTGAGTTGAGCGTAGCGAGGTCTATTATCGGAGGCCCTGGTCTTTGGGCGCCAGTAAACTTGTTCTACCATCTCAGGGAGGCGCTTGGCTTCCCAATATCTCTGATGGCCGTCGACGCAATTTGTATGTCCGTGATGACAAAGACAAGCTTGGTGTTTTCATCGGAATGGCAACGCGACGTAGACGTTTTGATGGCAGCAGCTGAATAATCAGAAGCGATGCTTGTGTATCCGCGGAACGAGTGGAAGAAGCAGTGCGCCGTCATAAAGTTGCTGGAGCGCTTCAAACCTTTCGACTTGGATGGGTTAAAAATCGTTTTCGGAATTACTAGTGACAGCGCAGGCGGATAATGATGATTTACCGAAGCTGATTTATCAGTTCCTTTTACCTACCATGCACCCGTTCGATCCGATTGGTGAGTTGGCCCGGAAGTTACACCAGTGGTTCTCTGCGGACGAGGCGAAGAGCGCGGCGTCTTATGCTGTGCAGATGCTATCGGCCTCGAGGAATCACGTTCCTCCGTGTGTCATTTCCTGTTTAATCAATACGTGGTGCAACAGCTGGTGCACCCAACGCCAGTTTCAGGACAGAGCAGGGCGCTACCAACTATGCCAACATTGCGGCGGCGAAGACTCCATCGAGCGCTGCGCTTTGTGTGGCTACCACTGGCGGGTTTTCGAAGCCAGACATCGTGTGCCTGAGGCTGATTATTCTTTGCGGGAGTTTCTTTGTTTTGATGAAGGAGATATGGGTCTGTTGATTTTCGAGCATGCCACGTCTACGCAGTGAAGAGAGCGGTCGACGCGAGCCAGGGGCAACATGAAGGAAGAAACAATATTCACTTGGACAGACTAGTGTGGCACGGTCACCGGACCGCGGCGCTGTGCAACCACAGTCTGGCTATTCGCTACCGACGGTTGTGCGGAGGGATGTGAGTACCTGTTCCACTGCGGGCGCGTCGTCATCTCCGGCCAGTGCTTCCTTTTCCGCTTCGGGCGCCGTGGGGACGGCGCGTCGGCGCTGAAACTGCATGATTTTTTGTCAAAAAAACAAACAAACCAAAAACATAAATGCAGACTAACAGAAATTCCCCGCGAAATTCTCTTCGTTTTTCACTCGCTGCTTCGGGCAAGATTCCATTCAGAAATCCACGCGACAGTCCGCTGCAGCACGTCTGCATGGTCGGCGCGGTGACTCTTGGGGCACTCCTGGGTTTCCGTGGGGCTTTCTAGGGGACCTCTTGGTCCGTCTTCGCTTTCTCGGGCCTGCTGCAGCCGCGCCGTGCCCCTCTTGGCCGTCTGGGGGTCTGGCGGCTGTCTTGGGAGCCTCGCGTGGCCCTCCCTCCTCCCCCCTCCTCCTCCTCCTCCTCCTCCTCCCTCCTCCTCCTCCTCCTCCTCCTCCTCCTCATCCTCCTCTGCTTCCTCCTCCTCCTATTGGCTCCTATTGGCTCATTAGCTGTCCGTTACCGCTGAGCGATAAGGCAGCCCAAAAACAGTACAAAGGGCAAGTGTTGAAAGATGAGTGCAGGCGGGGGCGGACGACCAACCCGTCTGAACCTGCCATCTGAGCGGAACAGACCTCCCGAAGCTCGTCTTCGAGCTGGGGTCCACTCCATTCCTGAGCATTCTGAGACCATTAGCGGCATCACGGTTGCGAGGACCTCCTTCACGCCGAGTCCCCAGGAGCCGAGACCGAGCGGACCCAAAAGCGCCGCAACGCGTGCACCAGGCCACCCGACCCCCACCCAGCCAGAGCCTGTGGCTCCAGCGCGCCGCCCTCGCAACCCTCGGCGGACCGCCGCAAGGCGTCAAAGCAATGTGTGCCCTCGAGCGGCCCCTCTCGCCGCACGTCGCACACCTGTACTGCTTGCCAGACTTCTCAATTAAATGCCCATTGGGCTCTGGAATCAACTGCAGCACTTGTGGCTTGGGCCGTCGGGGCCTGCGAACCCGCGCCACGTCTGGGAAATCCTTTACCGAGAGGTCGTTCATGACCTCGGCAATCAACCAGGCCGACTGTTTGACTAAGCTAAAGCTATGTTTAAGCTGAGCCTTGACTAGGGGGTTAGTGGGATGAGCCTGGGCCCCAAGCTTGGCGAGCTCGTCTGCCCGCTCGTTGCCTCTCCACTCCCACTCACTCACCCCTTGCCTACGGGCCTGACCGAGGGAGAGGTGAGACCTAACCCTACGTACCGAAATCAGATCGCGTCCGAGATCCTCTGCCAACTGAAATATTTCCCTCCAAAGCTCCGAATATGCTACGGCCTCTAAGTTCTGTTTTGGCCCGAACCCCCATATATCTTCCACCATCTTGCAATCAGTGATCACATCAAGCCCTTGCGGGCCCGCCAACCGCAACGCCATGAGGAAGGCGTACACCTCCCCCGCCCCCGCGAGCTGCACGACGTGCGGCAGGGGCCCGTACGCCGAGCCTATGGTGTGCCCGCTTGCCGCGACAGTGACCACCGCCCACCCCGCGCGGGCCAGGGAAGGCTGATCTTGGTCATACCCTGATCCGTCGAGACACACTCTTTTGTCGAGCACCCCGTTCGGCGGCACCACGTCCCACCGAAATCCTGCCTGCTGGCACGGTGTGGGCCAAGCCCACTCGACACTCGGAAAGAGCGCCCTCGTGTGGAGCGCCTCCGTTCCTGGCAGCACCGGCGTGTCCAACAACTCTTGGACTCCGAGATCTCGAATTCGTGGCTGATGGGCTGGGCATCGAAACCTGTGTAATGCAGAACCTACTTCTCCTTGGCACAGCATACACTTGTTGTCCAAAACTCGCCTGTCCTGGTACAGCTTATCCTGAGTCTGATACCCGCCTGCGACCACACCCGCGAGACCCGCCGCCGCCTGCCACCTGCCCTTGGCCCTGAGGTCCCTGAGCACTTCGATGACTGGTTCCAGCAGCGGCCCCTCGTCGAGGCCTTCCACGCGACCATCCCCAAGGCTTCTGACGAGGTGTTCCCGAACAAACCTCTCCAGAACCATCTTCAGAGAACGCCCTCCAAGATACTCCAAGTCAATCTCTAACCCCGAGTTGGTGACGAACAGGTTCCAGGCCCTCGGTTCCAAGCCTATCCGCCTAAGGGTCAAGACGACCGCACCTGCTGGACCTCGCACCTGGCTCCAGTCGAAATCCTGCTTGTTCCTGAAAAACTGGAAACTCTGCTGCATCGCCTTGGGCTCCACCCACTTGTTCCTGACCGCCTGGCCCCACATGAGGAGCGGCAAAAGGTTCGAGTCGAAAGCTGGGTCCCCCTTGGGCTCCTCGCTGAGAAGAAACTCCAGAGTCCTGCTCCTGCCCTTGGGAGTCCCAAACACAGCCGCTCCAACCGCACTCCTTATCTGCTGAAGCTTCGTGGTGGCCACCCCGTTCACTCTCGCTCCATATGTGGTAGCAGCAAGTCCCCCAGAACGGGCCACCCGCATCAATCCCTTCCTAGAGCTCCTGAGCCCGCGGATCCTTCCTCTGCGCCCCTTGAGGCGCCTCAGCCTGGCTTGTAACACCTTGGACCCACGGGTCCCCTTGGCAGCCATCGTTTGGTCGCATCCCAGATTCCTTCCCGAAAGCGCCCCCTCGAAGTTCCACTTCCGAAGCTTTCTGACTATGACCTGCCGCGTGCTCGCGTGGGTGCTCAGCACGAGGCCCTTGGACTGTGAAATCACTAACAGTAGCCGCTCGAGCAGCGTGCACAAGTAAAAGATCGCCCTCGGCAACCTGACTTCCACCTGCGACGAGTGACCAGACGACTGCAATGTGATATCGTCGACGACGTTGTATATGCCTACGCTGCCAAAGTGCTCGCAAGTCGAATCCAAGGGGTCCAGCAAAAGGCAGCTGAGCAAACTGGTCGCTTCACCGCAGCCTGCAAGAATACCCTGGTCAACTTCTGCCACTAACGCGCACACTCCTAGAATGCCGATGATCCGCTTGCCGCGATACAAGGACAGCTTCAAACGAAGACGAATCATATTATATCTATGCTTGACTGCCGCCCGAGCGAGAAGGTAATGGTTCACCTTCTCGTATGCCTTGGTCAAGTCCACGAGCCCACATGCCGAGCAGCCTCCTGCACTGATGTGCTGCTCGACCACTAGGCTCTGCTCCCACACCGCTCTCTCGCAACTTCTACCCGAAATCCCGTACCTGTAGGGCCGCTTGACCGAAGCCTCCCACGCGCGGATCTCAGGTCGATCTAACTTCGAGAAAACTCTGACGGGGGTTGGGAGCAAGCCTATCGGTCGAAAACCTCCTTCGGGCTTACCTAGCATCGCGAGGACCGTGGTCAGCATCAGGGTGGGGTACGTCCCAAGACACTCCATCCAGACCCAGAGCTCACCTAGCACCTCGAGGATCCCATCTGTGGCCTTGTCAAGGTCCCTGGGCCTGAGCATGTCGATCCCGCACGCCGTGAAACGCTTAAACCTCCTCGCTGCAGCTCTGATCTCACTGGGGGTCTTTGGGGGGCCCACAAGATCTTCCAGCCTGCAACCCTGCTCCTGCGCCTGCTTATCTATCTCGCTCGTGAGGTACTCGATGGGGTCAGGAAGACTCCTAGCAGCCTCTGGAGGGGCCCAATGTCCTAGCCAGTAACCGTACAAGTCGTCAACCTGCTCCTGCGGGCCCATGGGCACTCTCGGGGCATCCGACTTCTTAGCTCCAGCTGGGGCCTCAGGGATCCAACCTATGGGGACCTGGCTGTACTTGTGGGCTTGGCCCCCTCCATTGGCCACCGCTTGCTTGACCCACTCGCGCCACTGCTTGGACCGTTCAGAGGCGAACGATCTCTCCAGCGAAAGTGAAACCTTGCCAGCCTCTTCGCCCCAGCGTCGAAGCTGCTCAACATCTGCGTTCATCAACTGCTCTCGAGAAGGCCTCCAGCCTTCCCAATCCTGCTGCTCACGAAGCTGGTGTGGGCCCCGTCGTATTTGCCCCGGGATCCCCATGGTGCTAGCCTTCCCCCACTCCGAAGCGCTAGTCCTGAGGTACGCGAGCTCCTGGAACCAAATCTCAACTCTCCTCCATCCTCTTCTTCGTGGGCAGCCTACTGGATACTTGCCTCCTGAGGTCTTCAAGGCGGGTACCATCCTGAACTCGGGCTCCCTGGACCTTCCAAAGTACTTCTTCTGATCCGAGACCCCGTGGTACTCTCCCAGCTCCGCCTCAAGAAACCCCATAAACTCAGTAAAACAGCTGTCCAGAGCCTCTCGGCCACCACGCTGCCTCGCCTGTGCCAGCAGCTGGTGGTAGTCGCGGGGCTCCTTCATCGGGCCAATGACTACCTCATTGGGGAACGCGGCAGGCTTCTTGAGCACCCGAACGAGATGCTCCATCGGCTTGCCCTTAAACTGCACAATGACTTGCCAATGCGGCTTGGTGGACGCCTTCCTATTGAGATGGCACGAGTGAACATTCGCCGCTAGACCTGCCGACATCACAAAATAGTCGATTGTCCTCCAAACCTTGGCTGTCGACTTACACGTGTAGGTGGTGGGATGGATGACCTGGCCCCCGAGTTTTCCAGCCCACCCCATCTCCTTGAACATCTCTGAAACATTCCAGTCCCCCCCTAGGATGAACGGCAACCCCCAACTATGAAGGCGTTCTCCCAGCCGACTGAGAATTCGACTCCCTTCGGGTCCTAGCGGGTCTGCGTCGGGAAGATAAACCGAACCTAGTATAAATCCGCCTGGAACGAACGTATTGATCCATCGTAGCGATTGCCGATGCGGTGCAGGAAGGTCTCGAACTGCTGTCGGAGGCATCCCCAGACCTCTGTGCTTCCTGCAGGCCACCGCCACCCCTGACGAGAGCCCTCCTGCATCTGTAACTATGGACGGCGACAGACTGGCATGCCACCCTAGACCTCGCAGTGTCTGTTCACGCTCCTGCAGCTCGCTCGGTTCAACAGTGATATCTTGCAGTGCTGCTACGCTAGACTGACACTCACCCTCAAGATACTGCTTCGCCGACTTCCAACAGGTCGTGTTGCATGATTCTACCGAGAAAAAACTCTCTCCCTGGTCAGCCCTGGAAACTGGACTGGCTTGCTGGCGCTCAAGCTTCCGAGACTGAGACTTGCTTAAATTGAAACGCTGAGGCAATGATGGCTCCCAAGCAGGACAAGCTGGCTCCTGCTGGGGAAAATAGAAGGGGGGGCGACCGAGAGGCGGTGGCGGCATGGGCAGCGGCGGAGGGAGAAAGAAGAGCCCAGGCGGCGTGCCAAAACGAGAACCTTCCCGCACCTGCCGTGCGGCCGAGGCCTCAACGCTACCTGTCAGAGACGCGCCCCTCCCGCCCGCAGCCCCCGCCCAGCTGCCCACCCAACCGTCCCTCCCCTGCGGCCGTCTGGCTTGCGGCAGCGCCTCCAGCGCTGCCTGCAAAGCCCTTGCCTCCTGCTGCTGCCCCCTTGCCGCTCTGTCCCAGCGCTGCTCGTGCAGCCTGGCGCGCGTCGCTCGGCTCGGGCGGCAAAAAGGCTCCGGAGCGGTCGCGATCGACCATTCCGTCCTTGTGGCCGTCAGAAGCTCCACCAGCAGCAGCACGACCAGCGCCAGCCGCGGCGCCTGGCGGAGCCCGCGTGGCTGCCGCCTCTCCGCCCTCGGCGCCGCCTGCAGCCTGGGCTCCCGAGCCCTGGCCGCCTGGCTGCACCCCGTCGGGCTCCTCGGCCGTCTTCCGCTTCTTGGTGGACAGCCGCTTGACGTGCTCCGCGTGCTCCTTGTTGAGGTTCTCCGCGAACTGCTTCGCCGAGCCGAATAAGGTTTGCGCCAACTCGGCAATCCCTTTCTGCATCTTCTCACGCCTTTCTGCTGCCTGCTTCTGGTCATCTTCCGTAACCTCGTACAGCTTCGGATCGACCAGCCCGAAGAGCGTCTCGCACTCCCCGAGGTCGAAGCAAGTAAGGTCCCCCTCGAGTAGCTTGGACAGCGGCACACGGGGTGGCTGCTCACTCGGCGCACCGACCACGTCCGTGTGCAAGTTGCCCAGCAGCTCCTTGTACTTGCTATCCGCGTCGTCCAGCTCGGTGCTGAGGGCCTGCACAAGCTGGGTCTGCTCCTCGAGCGCCACCTGCATGAGCTCGAACTTGCTGACCTCCTGCTGGAGCTTCGCCTCCAGCTGCAGAACCCTCTGGTGTGCCTGCTGGGCCTGAAGCTGCAATGGCACCGCCTTGGGCTGCATGTCGAGCCGCTTCTTGTACTCACGGAGGGTCGTGTACTTGTTCTCCATGGCACGGTCACCAATCTTGTTGCCCAGCGCGACCAGATTGTCGATCTCCTCGCTGGATAACTCCAACTCCTTGCTCTTGGTACCAGGCGGGGGCTGCAAGCCCTTCGCCCGCGGTGCCAGCCCTGGCGGGCTGTCGTTGTCTGCCACGACGAGAATGGCTCCTTCATCAGCCACTCCTCCATTCCATGGCCTGCTGCAATGCTTGCAATACCACTGCGCCCAGGGCGTCTTCTTGCACCCACAGTGCTGGCAGCGCCACGTGTGGACGCCTTTGCCTCGTGGCTTGTCAGATTCACGCTCACGATCCCCAGCTGCTTCTGCTGTGCGACCTTTGCCTCCGCCATACTGCCAAGACTGACCCCACGCCATTGCACGCGCTGACGAGGGCTGGCTGATCTTGTGTCTGGCTGAATGGACACACGCCTGAATCCAGTAATCGTGAGTGTCGGGCCCTCACCCTGGGCAGGGCTGCTGATCGAGGGTCGTGCGGGTCACTCGACCACCTTGAGCCCCAACCCCAGGGAAGGCGAAAGCCCCAGGCAACGGCTTGAGCCAAAATGGCTACGGATTTCTTCCTCCTCCTCCTCCTCCTCCTCCTCCTCCTCCTCCTCCTCCACCTCCCCCTCCTCCTCCTCCTCCCCCTCCTCCTCCTCCTCCTCCTCCCCCTCCTCCTCCCCCTCCTCCTCCTCTTTTACGATCTTGGAGACCTCTTGGGCCGTCCGGGGCATACCTCGGGCGGCCTTTGGTTTTTGGGAGCGGTCCCGGGCCGTCCAGGGGGCCACTTTGGAGTGCGACGGGGCCAGTTTGGGTTCTCTTTTGCTCCTTCGAGATCCTCTTCCCAGACATGATCGCGTCGTAAAAAAAATCAGGAAGGCAAGTTATTCGCTAACTTCGGCACCGGGGAGCCCTCGCACGGCCCCAGGGCCGTCAAAAAACGATTGGTCGGGACTTTTGGGGACGCCGTCATGAAAAGGTCAGGACGTCGCATGTCTGGGTTCGGAATCATCCAGAGCCGAGGGACCTGAGAAAGCCCGAGGGGCTTGAGAAGGCCAACATCTTCAAAGAACGTGAAGAGCTTGTGATGCTTCTGATAGGCTTAGACTTCCTGAAGCGGCTGGTGGCCATCTCAAATTTCGTGTGTTGGAAGCCCGCTGGGGCCTCTTGGGCGCCCCTTGCGGTCTTCTTAGGGAGGGCGGCTCCTTTTCAAAATGTGGCTCTCGCCTCAGCGCCGCGCACCTTCGTAAACAATCGCAAGAGTCTCGCTTGGGGCAGCGTCGAGCCGTGTCGGTTGCCTGGGGCCGGGGGCTTGGCCTGGGTGACCAGGGCGGGGCCTTGGCTCGGGAAGACCCGGTGAGCCTGGGAAGGCCCGCCTGGTTTGGAGAAGCCCTGCCTCGCCAGACCTCCGGCGGCTGCAGTTTTCTCGACGCGTGGGCCCCGCATGTCTCGATCTGGACTCGTGCCCAGACATGATTGATGGCGCCCTCGAATCAGGACGGGAGGTGTTTGGCTATTTTCGGCACTGGGGGGCCCTCGCCAGGCCTCGGGACCGTCAAACAACGATTCAGGACGAGAAGCCGGCCCCAGGGAAAGGGTCAGGACTTCCAGGGACGCCTTCCTGAAAAAAGCAGCACGTCGCATGTCTGGGACCACCTCCCCAGGGCCGGTTTTTCGTCCCGAGTCGCGTTTTGACGCTCCCGAGGCCCGGCGAGGGCCCCCAGAGGCCGAAAACGGCCCAGAACCGCCCGCTCCGATTTCTTTTTGGGCGCGTCGGATCTCGGGGTCGCCTCTCGGGGCCCTCGTGTGGGGGGGGGCTCCTCCGGCCGTGCCGGAAGCCTGCGAGCGCCCCGCGAGAGCCCCGGAGGGGGAGCCGCCGGGGCGCCCAGACGCGGTGGCTCCCGGGAGAGGAGGAGGGGGGCGGTGCCAGCGCCGCTCCGTGGGGAGGAGGGGGGGGGGGGCTCGGGCGGCTCGGAGGAGAAGGGGGGGGGCCTTGCACCCAGAGAGCCAGCGCAGTGAACCCAGACATGATGGCGTCGGAAAAAAATCAGGACGGGCGGTTTTTGACTATTTTCGGCCCCTGGAGGCCCTCGCCGGGCCTCAGGACCGTCAAAAAACGACTCAGGATGAAAAACCGGCCCCAGGGAAAGGGTCGGGACTTGCGGGGACGCCGTCCTGAACAAAAATCAGGACGTTGCATGTCTGGGAAGAGATCGAGGCGGAGGTTTTGCACCGTTTTCGGCCTCTGGAGGCCCTCGCCGGGCCCTCGGGGCCGTGAAGACGCGACTCAGGACGGAAAGCCGGTCCTGGGGAGTGGGTCGAGACTTCTGGGGACCCCTTTACTGAAATATTCACGACGTCGGATCTCTGGGGAGAAGGGGGGAGCTTCAGGCGACTTGTATCGAAGGACAAAAGAGCGCCATGAGCATAACATGTTGGCGCTCCGCGCGGATTTCCTTGCCTCCGCGCTGGGCCACCCCGGGCGGGGCGGCGCCTCCGGCGCCGACCCTGGCGCGCTCCGCGCGCCAGGGGTGTCCAGCGCAGATCAGAAACATCCGTGCCAGGACTCGTTTCGATTCCCTCGAATCGATCCGATTCGACTTCGATGGCTTCCGATTCCGATTCGATTCGATTTGGGATTCCGATTTGCCGATTTCCGCCGATCCGATTTCCGCCGATCCGATTAATTTCGATCGCCGATCCGACTTACCGATTCGATTTTGGGCTCTCCTGCCGTGCGGAGCGCCAACAGTTTGTGTCTATGGCGTTTGTTATTATCCGTAAGGGCTTCGCCCCCTGCCGCCGACCCCCTCGCTCGGGCAGTGGGCAATGCAAGAGCGAAATCATGAGGCCTTGGCGCCGCCGTGAAGCAGCGTCGGGACTTCACGCGAAGACGGTTAGTAATCGGCAAGACAAAGTGAGATTATGATGATATTGATGAATTCGGTGTTGTATTCCGAGCTTGCTCGCGTATGCTGTGCAAAAAGCTTTTCTACGAAGTATTGAAATGTGGCAAATCCCATGTTTTTTTTTCGGAAAGGGCGTAGGCCCTGGGTTCTCTTTTAGTAGGTTTACCCCCGGTTTTGACTTGAAGGAGGCCGGCGGATTTCCATTCGATTAAAGACGAAGTAAAATCCAATTCGGCGTGAAACAAATGCGTTTCGCGCGTGACTGCTCGAGGAAAGTCGACCCCCCATCTCGGATCCTCGATAAATAACGGGGTCCGCAGACCACCGCTTTCCTTCGTTAAAAATGGGGTGCGGGGCATTTTTAGCAGAATCATAAAAAAACGAGGTCTGGAGCCCCGACCGCGACGCGGAAAAGCGTCCCGCGCGCAGGAATTCCGAGGATGTCTCGCGCGTGCCGCGTCCCGCGCGCAGGAACTTCGAGGATGTCTCGACTAATTCGCTTGTTGTTTCCAGGATGTCCGTGACAATGTGGAGTTTTAGCGTGCCCGCTCGTTGATGGTGCGCCCCCCCGCGCCAACAAAAAAACGATGGTGTCTCGAGCGAGACGCTTGTGTTGCAAAACTTGAAGGGCCTGGGCGCCCCACCATGCCCCAGGAGGCCCTGGGAGCGCGGACGCGGCGTAATCTACGAGGGATCGTAGCGTCTTGGAGCGCGGACCACGCATAATTTGCTGGGGATCGTGGCCCTCGGAGCGCGGGCGCAGCGTAATTTACGAGGGGTAGGGGCCTTGGGAGCTCGGACGCAATGTCATTTACGAAGGATCGTAGCCCTTGGAGCGCGGGCGCAGCGTAAAATACGAGGGATCGGGGCCCTGGGGGCTCGGACGCAGCGTAATGTACGAGGAATCGTGGCCCTGGGAGCGCGGACGCAGCGTAATTTAAAAGGGGTCGGGGCCCTGTGAGCGCGACCCCAATACACTCAGCATTGCAACCTGGCGCGTTTCCTGGCACGTTCCGTGGCGCGTCCCGTGGCGAGTCCCCTTGGCACGTCGCGCGGCGCGTCCCCTGGCACGTCCTGGGGCACGTCCATTGGCAATTCATTGGCACGTTCCGTAGCGCGTCCCCTTGGCACGTCCCGCGGTGCGTCCCCGTTGCACGTCCCCTGGCACGTCGCCTGGCGCGTGCCCCCTGTCAATTAGCTCTGGGGCAGCTACTATGTGCCCAGGCAGCTCGAGCTTAAGATCCAGATCAGTTCGGTCAGGACTCGGAAACAAAGGAGGACTCGATCCACAACGCTGTAGGGGAAAATCTCGGCATGGCAGATCGCAACTTCAGCACGGCACAGCACAGCACAGCCCTCGGCATGGTACATCAAGGTCGATACACTCAGCACTGCGTTTGCCCGTCGTCCAATCAGGTGTCTTTGACGCGTTGCCATGCCTTACATTTCTATGTTCCTTTCCGGGTTCGTGGGTCGATCATGTTTGACCCTGACCCACCGATCTGCGCGAGGGGTGCCACCGAATTTCAAGACATGTGGCAAATCCCATTGGTTTTTCGACCCTGACCCCGCCGATTTGCATGAGGGGTGCCGCCGAATTTTAGAACTGTGGCAAATCCCATAGGTTTTTTGACCCTGACCCCGCCGATCTGCGTGAGGGGTGCCACCGAATTTCAAGACATGTGGCAAATCCCATGCGTTTTTCGACCCTGACCCCGCCGATCTGCATGAGGGATGCCGCCAAATTTCAGAAATGTGGCAAATCCCATCGGTTTTTCGATCCTGACTTCGCCGATCTGCGTGAGGGGTGCCACCGAATTTGAGACATGTGGCAAATCCCATGTGTTTTTGGACCCTGACCCCGCCGCTCTGCGTGAGGGGTGTCAGTTCGACCTCTTTCAGAAATTCTGAGAACACTCCAAGGAGACGCTAGGTTTGGTGGTTTTCGGCTCCCCCCCTTGCGCGGTCTACAGCAAGGAACAGTCAGCAGCATAAAGCAACACTGTAACGGTGGAAACTGGAAACTGGAACTGGCGCAGGGAGCAGCAAACCCTCAGCCTACAGCCTGGTGGCCCCACAAGGGGGCCGGCAGATTCTTCTTGCTCTTTTTCTCTTTCTTCTGCTTCTTCTTCTGCTTCTTCTTCTGCTGCTTCTTCTTCTTCGATTGCATAATCCCTACCAGACAGCGCTTAGCATCACGCCGCACCATCACAAGCCAGGGGGCACGGGTGGCGGATATGCCCGAGTATCACAAGATTGCATGTTCGCTGCTCCTGGCAGCGGGCATCTGCTTCCTGTCTGGCCAGTACAAGTTTACCCTCGACGTGAAGAGCAAGCGCGAGTTCCTGCAGTACAAGGCGATCGTGCTGGTGCAGTTCGTGACCATCTGGTACACCAGGTGCCTCGTCTGGTTCCCGCAGCTCTACTACGCCCTCTCGTACTTCCGCGCGCAGGGCGACACGCACTTCCTCGTCGGCGGCTGTGTTGCCGGCGGCCTCATGTCCCTGTTCAACGTCATCATGCTTCTGGATGCCACCACGGCTGCCCTCAAGTGGCTCCCGAGACCGCTGCCAGACACCGAGGGGACGCGGGAAGAGCTCCAGGCCGACGTCATCCGCCAGCAGAGCGACCTCGTCGCGCCCGGGGCGCCGGCCGTGCTCGGCAGGGCTGCGAAGACGATGCGTACGACGGTGAAGGTCGCGGTGGCCGCACAGCGCTTCAAGGCACCCCTTCTCGCCAAGAAGAGTACTGGTAAGTGAGCGACCACGGGGGCTCCGTGCCATACGTCCGTCATCGTCATCACCATCCTCATGATGGATCATCAGCATCATCATCATCATCATCATCATCATCATCATCATCATCATCATCATCATCATCATCATCATCATCATCATTGATCATCATCATCACCATTGATCATCATCAGCATCAGCATCAGCATCATCATCTTCATCATCATCATCATGATCATTATCATTATCAGCATCATTAGCATCATCATAATCATCACCACCACCGCCGTCATCATCATCATCATCATCATCATCATCATCATCATCATCATCATCATCATCATCATCATCATCATCATCATCATTGACCTGAGCCGCAACCACGTCAGTTCTTCGGGCCTGGGCCAGGACGGGGTTGCTTCTCAGGTGCGGTGTGCAGCTTGCTGCGTACCAGCCCGCTGCAGCCGTTGCTTTGCTAGCTGCCGCGCGTGCTGAGTCGCTCTGACTGCTGCGAGCCGTCAATCGCTTGCCTCGGCTGAGGCGGTTGATTTCTCTTGGCACTCGGGCGAATCTGCGGGGGTGCGCCGAGGTGCACGAGACCGAGCGTTGCTTCCGCAGGGCCATGAGGAAACGCCTCGGTCCGAGGGGCAGTACGAGCTGGGAGCTCCTGACCTCTTTAGACGCGTGGATCGTCATCATCATCATCATCATCATCACCATCATCATCATCATCATCATCATCATCATCATAATCATCATCATCATCATCATCACCATCATCATCATAATCACCATCATCATCATCATCATCATCATCATCATCAACAACAGCATTATCATTATCGTTATCATTATCATTATCATTATCATTACCATTATCATGGCCATTTTCATCCTCATCATCATCATCATCACCATCATCATCATCATCATCATCAGCATCACCATCATCATCATCATCATCATCATCATCATCATCATCATCATCAGTGAGCGACCACGGGGGGCTCTCCGTGCCATACCTCCCCGTCTTCCGAATATGCGTGCCAAGCATCGCCTCCGGCGCGCCCGCGCATCGGGTTTCGCACCTGCTCCTCCTCGGAGCTGGCCCCAGCGAGCATATTCCCATGCCGTCCTTGCCGCTTGGAGCGAGACGACTGCTCCGCTCTGGTAGGCCTGGCAGGACACGAGTATTGAGGCAGGGCTGAGCCACGCAGCACCTCGCCCTCCTCCTCCTCCTCCTCCCCCTCCTCCTCCTCCCCCTCCTCCTCCTCCTCCTCCTCCTCCCCTCCTCCTACTTCTCCTCCTCCTCCTCCTCACCCAGTTTCTCCCGCTCTCCTCCCGCTGCTGCGTGTCCTCTGTTCCCTGCTCCCGGTCCCTCTGCTGCTGCTGCTGCTGCTGCTGCTGCTGCTGCTGCTGCTGCTGCTGCTGCTGCTGCTGCTGCTCCCCCCTACTGCCGCTCCCGCCCCTCTCCTGCTTCTCTTTCTGCCTTCTGCGCCAGACCGGCAGTAGCCTCAGGGCTGTTGCACCGACTTGACGAAGAAGTAGAAACAAATACCTGGCAGGCGCAGCGGCGACAGTAATAGACAGAGCTTCGGCGAAGTGGAGCTGAAATGAGTAGGGCGCTGGCCACGTGTAGCACGCGGTCAGACTAAGTACCTCAGTATACCTTCCCCCGACCACCCCTCCCCCGACTCCCCACCCACCTATCCGAATATTTGTGGTACAGGCTTCCGCAACAGAGCACGAGTCCAAGGAAATGTGATGTATCCGTATCCTGCAGGTCTGAGGTATTGCAGGAAAAAACGTGGCAGAGGGGCTGCCAAAGGTACGTGACGAAGCAAAGGGGTTGACGCTGGAGCTGTGCACAATATGAGGTACAAGAAACTGTGCATGGTGAAGGCTGGCCTGGAGTAGGCTGGCCTGCAGTGCAACGGTGCGTCCCACCCTGCCCTGGGGGCAGGGGGCCGTAAGTTAAGAGAGTGTGTCATCCCCAAGAACTACGACCAACTCCCCAGATGTAGGTCCACCCCACCACCCCATCAGCACTGGTCCTTCTGCTGCTGCTGCTGCTCCTCCTCAGGAGGAGGAGCAGCAGCAGCAGCAGCAGCAGTAGCATAAGGACCAGTGCGGCTTCAGCCCCCTCCTCAGTGCTGCTGCTCCCGCCCCTCTCATACTTTTCTTGCTGCTGCTGCTGCTGCTGCTCGTCCTCAGCCTCCTCCCCCTCCTGGTTCAGCTGCCGCTCACCCTCGACTCCCACCGCGATCGACCTCTGCGCGGGGCAGCGTCGCGACCGAATAAAAGCATCTTGTCGGAGGCCTCAGCCGATGTGCAGGCAGTGGGCGCAGGCAGCGCAGCAGGTGGGTGCGCGTCGACGACCGGCGGCGGTTGGCGGTGGCTGCGGCGGACGGGCCACGGGTGAGCAGATGGGTGGGCGTCGGCGACAGGCGGCGGCTGCGGAGGCAGCAGATGGGTGAGCGACGGCGACTTTCGGCGGCTGCTGCGCCGGCGGTGGAGGAGGAGGAGGAGGAGGAGGAGGAGGAGGTGGAGGAGGAGGAGGAGGAGGAGGAGGAGGAGGAGTAGAAGTTTCTTTCGCTGGAAGGAGAAAAGGAGGCAGGTTGGTCAGGGCGTGCGGTCAGGACCGTTTGCTTAGCGTGTCACCCCGCCAGTTCTGGGCCACGTCCCAGTCCCCAGGCTTCACCGCTTTGAGCGTTTCCCGGCCTCCCGTTCCAGGCAGCAGAGCGACACGCTATCAGCTTGCAAGGCATAGCGTGTCGCAGGGGCCGCCGACACGATTCGCTAAGTGAATCTTCCACACCGTAGGAGGAGGAGGAGGAGGAGGAGGAGGAGGAGGAGGAGGAGGAGGAGGAGGAGGAGGAGGAAAGAGTCGTTTTGGGTTGGACCACGCGTACAGTACAGTTTGCTTGCGGTTGTAAAGGATGCGGTATGGAGAAGGGAGGAGGGGGACCAGAGGGAGGGAGTGAGGAGAAGGAGGGCCATGCTTTCTCTTGATCTGCTTTCATCCTCCTCATAATCCTCCTCCTCCTCCGCTTTCCATCCTGCAGGTGTGTTTTCTCTCTGTCCTCCTCCTCTTTCCCACAGTCGATGCTTGTCCTCATCCATCTCCTGCGCCTTTTCATCAGTCCTGGTACCCTGATCCTCTTCATCTTGCTCCCCCTGTTTCTTCTCCTCTTCCTCTTCTTCCTCCTCCCCCTCCTCTTCTTCCTCCTTCCGTGGCCATTTTGGCTCAAGTACGCAACGTGCGACCCTGGCGTTTCGCATTTGGTTGCTGCCACGGGGGCGGCTCGAGGCGTCCCGCGCCTGGTCGACAGGCGACACCTTTTCCGCTCCTGTAGGGGCAGCCCGCTTCCGACCACTCCTCGCACCACTCCCGTGGGCCCCAGTGCTGCGGGACGGTGCCGCGCGGCCGCGAGGAGAAGAAGGGCGAAACTCGTCGTCAGCGCGACGAATCTTTCGAGCAAAGCTCCATGGGCCCATCGAGAAGGCACGCGACGGGTCGCCTTCGGACAGTCGAGACAAATCGCGCACGGTGAGGTCGAGGTACGACAGTCAGTCGCCGGCGCCGGGGATCGACATTGACTCCCACTCCGCCCGGGGGAGTTGCTGCTGCGCCAGATGAGGCACGAGCTTGGATGAGGGGGCGAATCGGCGAGATGAGGGAGACGGGCAATCATATTGCGCGCATGGAAAAGTCGACGCAGCAGGAGGTGTCGGACCTGCGCAGCGCTTGGCAGGCCCAAAAGGTCAACATCGGCACTGTAAACAGCAGGATGTCGGAGATCGGGCGCAGCCAGATGGGCGCGATCACGCAGGCGGTTCAGACGGCGGCATTGGCGGCAGAAGACAGCAATATCGAGGCCTTGGACACAAAGGTGGCCGAGCTCGCAAGCCGCCCAGTCGCGTCTGCTAACGTGTCTAATTCGGCGGAATCTAGTTCGGTTCCGAAAGCACGACGTGACGAGGCGCTTGGGAATAAGCTCAGGCGTTGGGTCGGAGCCTTCCCCAGGTCGCTTACCTACACGCGGCGCAAGATTTCCTACCCCCAACGCATGGAGCGGGCTATCCCGCAAAAGCTGAGGCAGCCTGTCGCTTCACACCTCGAGAAGAGAGAAGAGCTTCGCGGTGGACTTCAGGACCGAGGCGGCAGCGCGCAAGTTCCAGAACTTCTCTGTGGACCGCCAGCTGATATGGACCGACCCCAGAGGCCAGCGATGGTATGCCATAGAAGTCCGAGGTGATCTCCCGCTCGGCGCCCGCGCGCGGATGCGTCCATCTGGGAGGGCGCCATGCAGCTGCTGAGGGCTTCAGGTGCAGAGATGCGCGGCCACAAGCTGGGCTGCAACGGCAACCCGGGCATCATCAGCTGGACCTCGGGCGGCGACATCTTCGAGTTGTACTAGATCGAGGGTTCGGACGCGCGGGGCTGGACGTTCAACCCGTTCCTTGCGCAATTAGCTTGCTTAGCATGAACAGCCAGGCCGTGCAGGAGCTCATCGCGGCGGCAGCGGCTAGGGCCACCAGCCACTTAGGAAATGCCTCTACGGTGCCGACCCAAAATGCCGTGCGCTAAGTTTATCGATTTGCGGCCGTTGTCAAGAATGTCAAAATTTCGTAGGGGGTAACCGGTTTAAGCGCGATGTCGCTGCGATTGTCAAGGGGTGGTTACCCTTGAAGAGTAGGCTAATGTGGTCGTTTTTTTCCCCGTGGAATCCGTGCAACAAGAGTGTGCCGGGAGTGAGATTTTTGAGCTCGCCCGATGAAATTATTCATGTTTATTTTCCTGGGCGTTGCCTTCAAAATCTTGCAGCGCAGTTGATGGGCGTATGCATGATGGGGTCCGCGCTGAAGGGCAAAGCGAGCGTGGTGAGCACATTGTCGGCGACAGTGGTGCCTGTGCTGCTTCGATGTGCCCCTCCTCGTCCAGCTCTTCCTCGCCCTCGTCTGGGCCAGCGGGACTTCTTCTTGTT